ACTTTATTGATCCCACAGCGGGGAAATTTTTGCGTCACCTCAGCTCAGGTACAGATATATGAAGGAAATACAAAAATACAATTAAGTACAATCAATGAAAAAAAGTAAGATAATACACTATATACAATGGTAGCATACACAGTATGTGATTATGGATATAGTTGTAAATATGGAAGAAGGTGAGAGATATCATTATGGAGGCAGATGAAACCATGGTCTCGTACGACGTTACATCTCTCTTCACTTGCATTCCAGTCACAGAAGCGTTGGAGGTAGTCCGTAAGAGATTACAGGATGACACCAACCTCAGCAACAGGACCACTCTCAGCATCGACCAAGTGTGTTTGCTTTTGGAACTGTCTTCATTCCACCTACTTCACATACAAGGGTCAGTTCTACAGGCAGAAACATGGGTGTGCCATGGGCTCACCAGTTTCACCCATCATGGCCAATTTGTACATGGAAAGAAGTGGAAAAGAGGGCTTTGCTATCCTACCCTGGAACACCACCAAGCCATTGGTTCAGATATGTGGATGACACCTGGGTGAAAATCAAATCTCAGGATGTACCACAATTCACGGATCACATTAATTTGGTGGACCAACACATCAAATTCACCAGGGAGGATATGAAAGTGGCAGGTTAGCCTTCTTGGACTGACAGGCTGGTTTCAGTCATTATGCAAATGTACTGTTTATAAGATTGGGGAAACTTGCAGTCAGCTGAGACTGAAGAAGTCACTTGGATGAGTAACGAAACGTTTCTCCCACAAAACGCTACGTCCAGATGAACAGAATCAACTTTTGGAGACTCTCAACATACATTGCCATAGCATAAGTCAATATGCATTAGCCTATGGGTAATGATAATTATAAACAAAGCAGTAATTAAAATGAGCAAGTTCAGTCACAGAGCTGTCTTTCTGCATGAAAAGTAACTTTATAAAAAGATTCAACTTATTTCCTCCATCGTTCCACTGTGCTAATGAGTTTTGGCATGTGTGACTGCTGAGCTGCATGATCTATAGTGATGCACTGTAGACAAGTTCAAAACACAAGCAACAATGCCACTAATAGTGTTATAAATAGAAGACACAATATCATTTTAATTAATAGACTCTGTAGCACAGTAGTGCAGGTGGTGCAGGTGATGTACAAGCATTGGCACCAGTAAAACCTCTACCTTCATAGATTTTCCAATTTTGAATTTAGGAATATTTGTTTTATGGTTTTGTTCTCATGTCTACAAAGCAGTCCATGGGTTGGTGTATTGTCCTGCATGTCCTTTTTCACCTGCAAGTATCCTTAAAAATCTGTCATCTTATCACTTTACAATATTCCAGATCATCACTCCACCAAATTCTTGTTGTTGTTGAAATCTGGTTGAAAATAGTGACCATGTAAGTCACTAAAACTCCATCCATTCGGACACATCCAGCGTAGGAGTGTATATCCATATGTGTCAAAAACACTTATATGGATGCAGCCCTTGGGATTACAGTGATATTAACAGTTCCACATTTTCGTTCTTTATCTGTTTTGTGGACTTAAATGTGTATCTAGAATCCAGTTTAAGTCCAATTAATTTATAAAAAAAACATATTTTTATAAAAACAAGCAAATTGTAGTTAATTAAATATATAAAAGTTTGCTTAATCACTATATAAATGGTATAGTTTGTAGCATTTACTGTATGGTAATATATAGTAATATTAGGTTTTAAAGATGGTGAATAGTTGCAGTTAAAATAGTAGTATTGTACATTATATTACACTGTGTGATGATGTGTGTGGGTGTGATAGTAGTCAGTTTAATTGATATACTCTTTACTCCTATCTTACTGTAAGATGTGAATATGTGCTATTATTATTTATTAAAGCAGGCAGATCACGTCTGGCTCATGTTATCTGTCCGTGTAGGAGTTCAGGCTGTTCACTCTGATTTATGGCTGTGGGGTCTAACTATGTATATTTACAGTCTCATGACCTGAAAATGACACCCGCTGGGCTGAACAAGTAGGGGAGGAAAGGGCTTTGGAGGGTCACAGACCGTAGTGCACACAAATATATACAGACACACATTATGTGTTTTTATCCAATATGGTCACATAGGGGCATGCCTGCACTTTTTGGATCCCGTGTCTGCAGCACAGATTATTTATTTTAAAGTGTAGTTAACCTTTTGTTGCATTCTGACTAAAATCAAATGTTAATAATTCTATATGCTTTGACATGCATGTAAAGTGAATGTATTTAGTGGTCAAGTTAGACAAAAAATTCAGTGCAATGGCTGTTGCTAATTAAAGCAACAAATAGGAGTGATCCTGGGAAAAGTGGCAACTAAGAAATGCAAATTACCGCACGTCAACACATCAACAGAATGACTCCTGGAGTCAGACTAGTGCAGATTGAGTGAAGTGGAGGGTAAGAAATTGCAGAGCGTTAAATAAGGTGACAGCTGCATGTTTACAGAACCCAAAGCCCAGGGGTGTGGGTGGCGAGGATTGACACTTCAGCTTCAGATTGTCACGGGCCCATTTCCAAAGAGGCAAATGGTCCTTGGCAATAAGTGAAGTTCACATGGGTTGGATTAAACTGCTGATGATAGTTTGTACCTTTGCAGTGTGGTGATAAAAAGGTTGTGGCCATGTGTTTGTGTGATTTGCATGTCTTTGTCAAGCTCTACTTGACAAAATAAATGCCTTCAATTTCTTTCTTTTTTACATTTCATTTCTGCATTGTCAGAGCATTCTGTTGATAAATGTCTTTCTTTTACCTATAAATTTGCTCTTTCTGCTTCTTTCTCAACTACCTTTCCTGTGCCTCTCATCTGAGTCCATGTTTTTTTTGGAAAGTGCTGGTCTTTAAGCATTCTCCCTCAGAGTAATATTAGAAGAATGCTGTCAATCTCCTGCATATGGTTTAGTTATGCAGCTCCAGCTCCATATAACAATCACAAAGTAATGAAGACTTAAAGTACACCGAACCAACTAGCCTGACTCTGTTCTAGTTGTTCAAAAGCATGGCAGTCCAACACCTCTGAAGTTCACTAATTTAAGCCTCATACCTTATTTGTTTAGCCACAACACAGTCTTTAATTTACTGTCCAAGCACCAACTCTAACATTACGCTCTTTGACTATTTTTGGCAACCCACCCTGTATCCCGATTTGCAGTCTCAAAATGTGTTTTGTTCTCTTCGGTAAATGTACAGGACATGTGAGATTTGTCTTAATTAGTCATGACTCTCGCTCCAAGAATTTAAACTGAAGTATCAGAACTATTTATTTAACTCTACTCTTGTTTTCCTCTCTCGCCCTTTTTTGTGTTTGGAGATTCACAGATTCTGATTGGTTGTTCCAGGAGGAATAAACGATGTGAAGCTGGGCTCAGAGAAGGGGTCGCTGTGTTTTATGAGCCATTAAAGTTTTATTCATCCCTGTACCGAGGCAGCCTTCGGCCATGGGGTCACCATGCTTTAAATAAACTCCCATCATTCCTCTCCCCCCACCTCCCCAATATCTGCCTTCCCACCCCCTGCTCCCCCAACCCTTTCACCCACAGACTTAATGGACTGTTTATTGTTTGATGTTCAAGTCCGACTTCATCATTTTTTCCCTCTCTCGCGCTCTTTCTCTGTTTTCCGCTCTCCACTAGTGTTTAGCGGTATGGAGGTTTGACTGATGCGGTTTGTCCGTGTATTTGTGTTATATGTGTGGTTCATTTTGCGTGTGAGTGCGAGTCCTTGCATGCATGGGCTCTGCATACATGCAGAATGTCTATAAATTCCTTTGGTGTGCCATGGTTTCCTCTTCATAACATCTTCCCTCCACTCGTCTGTTTCATGAGTGGATGCAAGCTTTTACGGCGTATGACTGAATGTTTAGTTTTTAAAAACAAGGAAAGGAAAGCACATCAGTGAACCACACTGTTGCACTAGTGATGTGCAATGTCTTCATTACTTGATCGTGAGCATGGCTACCAATAACCATTTTGAAGCAAAGGTAAATTAATCCATGCTTTACATTTTTAACATATATAATACTTGAGAAAAAGTTTGCTAGAAATCTGTATACATTCTGAAGTTGCACCCTCATAAATGTGGTTGGAGCTTACATGGATAGGAAAGGAAAAAAGTACTGAAACAATAAGTAGATGTACTCAGAAGTACACATTGTTTAAACTTGTGTGACCACTCTATTGATGCATTTTTGGTGTCAAAGCCCAGGTGTCCTGGGGTGGGGGGGGGATGCATAGTTGTCTGGTGAGGAAATTAATCTCAAGTAGCACACATTCCTGCAAGATTCCTATTTAATGTGTGCACTGGATTTCTGCTTACCTCACGCTCATTTAAAAAATTGTCACTGCTATAATTTCCTACAGTTGTAAAATCTGTCCTCGTGGAGTTATAAACCAGAGTGCAGTGTTTTGGCATCCAATAAGCAACTTCTCTATTAGTCAAAGTGGACATCTTGGATCTCACCTGCAGTGATATACCCCACTCCTCCAGCTCCTTCCTGTTGTTTAGTCTTTTAAAAAAAAGGAACAAATCTAAATGCTCATCTTTTCATGGGCTTTCTTCACCATATGCTTATCGTTTTTACTTTAAAGATGCAGTAGTTCATCAACCTGGAGCTTGCAAAGCACTTTTTGGCCGAGGGGGACAGAGTGATAGAAGAGATATTTGTGAGGGGGGAGAGATGAAGAGTTTGCAGAGTTCCCTTACAAGCTGTGTTACAACTGACCCTATCCTCAACTTTGGCCCATGACCCTACCAGAGATCTGTCATGAGAGAGGGAGCTGCTTAACACAAAATGGAGCCTGGTGCAAGAGTCAGAAAGAGAGAGAGAAACACAGAGAGAGTGGGGAACAGAGAGAGAGACAGAGAGAGAGAGGGGGTGAGAGAGCATTAGTGCACACAGAGGACTCATTTATCCGCTCTCTCACTTGACTTCAGTTTTTTCTTCCTCTCCTTTGCTTTCTCTTTTGTTTTCACTCCACAGACACTGTTGCCCTTTCTCCCAATACATCCCGTCTTTTTTCCCTCTGCCCCCCTCCCCTTCCCTCCCAATCTTCTCACCCTCATCTGGTTGATTTTGGACAACAGCATGCCATCATCAGCAGCCACCACCACCACAGGTACGGATTCATGGCGGCAAGGACCAGCAGGATTCTGGGAGGGAATTTGTGAGATGAAGCTTTAATGAGAGCGAGGCCTCGTCAGCCTGGAAGAAATGTATGCTAATGATATGCACACACCAAAAGGACCCTGGGTAGGCAAGGCAAGTGCTGGCCGAGCTCCCGCTGAGCTCTGAGGAAGATGAGCAGCTCAGGTCAGAAGAATAGCAACAAAAACGCCTCCTCCTCCTTTTCTTCTTCCCTTTTCTTCAATCCGCATCCAAAAGGGCAGAGAAAAACTGGTTAACTTAAACCCTTAGAAATGAGGTTGTGTTGCCACATGATGCTGCTGTTGATGTATTTTAGTTTCTGGATTTCTCATTTTTTTCCTTTTTCTTCATCTTTGCAAGCACATTGACATTGTGGGTTGAATTAGCTGGAGATTAAACACATCTGTGGTTTACATCCAGACTTTCCAGAATTTTAACTGTCATAAATAATGACAGTTAAAAATGAAATTGTGCTCCAGAGAGATGCAATGTGTGTCCTCTAATTGTGCTCAAAGTTGTCTTTAATAATAGAAAAATTGATATTAATTTGTTTTGATACTTCATTTAGAAATTTAAACTCACCACACCCCTAGTTAATAATGGTGTATGGGCAGTATTTAAATGAAATGACCTGTTTTCATTCAGGAATAAAGTGTATTTGTTATTAATTAAGGAAAGATGCTTGTTACTGGAAATAATGTTGCTAAATGCAATTTATATTTATTTCAGTGTTATCAAGTATGTTTCAGTTACTGATTCACATGCATTTTGTTTTTATTATATATTTTAGTGCCAAACTTTTAATTTATCCTGAAATTATGCTTGAATTAATAAATAAGCCATGTATTTTGTAGTAGCCTTTATTAAATAAATGAATATTTTGGAATGCAAGTAAATAATGTCTGATATTTCTGTTTATTTAATGATCAGATCTGTTTTCTGGGGAGACTTTTCAGTAACGTTATTTCCTTTTATCATAGATTTTATTTACAATTGTGCATTAATTTTTTTAAATTATTATTATGTTAACGGGAAAGTAAATAAAAAAAATCACTTCGTTTAAAGCGTCTTTTAGCGCTATATAAAATTATCTAATTCACTTGTTACCAAATGAACATTTAAGTGTTGATTTAAAAAGAAAACTATGCAGAATTCACATCAGCATTAACGTTACGGTGCAGTCCCTGCTCCCCTCTCCTCTTCTCTGTTTCTTTGCTCGGAGTATCGCTCCTGCAGGAATTACTGGCCTGTCTGATCTGATTGCCGCTTGAAAAAAAAAAGGAAGGAAGAAAAGAAAAACGAATAAAGGACGAAGCGAGACATCAGCGCGACGATCTCGACGGCGTTAACTAGTGATCGTAAAAAGCGCCAGAGTCCAGCCGCATCAGAAATGGAAACCTCTTTTTCCACCGTCGCCTTCGGGGGTGAATAAACAAGAGGAAACGGGATGAGAAGTGGGGAAAAATCCATTGAGTCTTGGGAAGAAAATGAGAGTGGCACCTGATGATGTCGACTTTGACACGTGTTAATTGCTGCTCAGCTCTCCTCATCAGGGAGTCTCAAATTATTTTAGCGCTCCGGGCCACAGCGCCTTGTTTGCTTTGCTGAGGAAAGGAAGCAAGCTGGCCCAAACTTCAAATGGTAAGGCTCGAATCGCTTGGGTAGAATAATCTGATGCTATATATATATATATATATATATATATATATATATATATAGAAAACAAGAGAGCATGCATAGAGGGAAAAGGATATCTTAAAAAAAAATTAATAAAAATTTTAAAGAGAATTTGCAACTGTATTAAATAAAGCTGGAAATATACTTTATTGGTAGAAGTATACATTTTAAATTATCGAAACACAGTGATGTTTCACTTAATTTCACATCACTTATTTCTTAAATCAAATTGAGTTCATTAAAAATAAAATATAATGCCTCTGTTTGGGATTTGTTTGCTTGGTTGTCAATATGTAAGACGGGAAGATATTTTATTTGATGAATTAGATTTTCTTCTTTTCTCTCTGATAATCCAAGATTTACAGTGAAATATTGCCTCTATTGCTAAATCAATAATAAAGTCAATGCTATTCTCAGATAAAATGGCTTCATCGATAGGAAAATCAGACAAAACTGCTTCACTGCACTTCTGGCTACATTTAAACATGTAAGTAAATAAATAAATCTGACTTGCACCTAATAAAATGTATTCAAAATCTCAAATCCCTTTTCCTCATGTGATTATATTTACATCTGTCTGCAGCTTTGATTTCAGTTTCCTGCTGTATCCTCAGCTTTTACCAACAACGCTCCTCTCAACCAGCATACTCAAATACACAGTTTTACTTCAGTGCCTGAGAGCACCAATACTCATTTTCTCTACTTCACACTTCTTACCTGTTGACATGTATTTATAAGGCCTTGCATGGTGAATTATAAAGCCTTTGTTATTGCCTGGCTTGGGGTTGGCCACTTGTTTATGACACCAGTAATGGTGGTAATTGTTATTGTTGAGATTACCTGTCAAGAGGACCTGGACAGTGAGCTTGGAGAAAGCGTTGCTCTCTTGACAAGGGGTGACAGGGGTGTGGGGAAGAGGATGTGGGGGGATTGGGGGTTGGAGGCGAGGCTGGGATGCCCTGATGACTTCTCCGCTGATAATCAGCCACCGTGGCCTGTGGGATAATTCAGCTGTCAGTGCCACCTAACAGGGCCCAGCATCAGCCGGCCGACCCCAGCTGGCGTCATTCATTTGGACTGAAGATGGGGATGAAGGCCTGAGGAGGGGTGAAGGGATGCAGGAGCAGAGAAATAAGGACAGCGTCTACATATCTGATTGCCAGAGTTGGCCTTTGAATGCAGTAATTTAATTATCATCAAACATTTTTTATAGTTTTTGAAAAAAATGTCTTTTAAATTTTGCTCCTAAAAGTGCCTTTTTCAAATTAACAGCTGATTGAATGTTTAAACCTCGCTTTGGTGAAAAACTGAGGTATTAAATATGTTTTAAATTGTATTTTACATAAGGTCTTATTTTCTTTGTATAAAAAAACGGTTTCAGTTTTTTCGCAAAGGCACATTGTAAGTCCTCACAACACTGCACCCCGATTGGCTAACAACATAGAGCAGGTCCTTTATGCCATATCATCTAAAAGCTTTGTGAAGAATTTCTGCAACCAGGACTGAACAGGCGAATGCAGTAATTCTTGAGATGCTCACGTGCATCTTAAATCAACATGACGCTACAATAAGTGTATTTTGCTGAAAATGAAATTACTTTTAAATTGAGCCACTACAACAAATTCAAAGCTTAATAATATAAAGGTTAATTGCATGCAATATGTCATGTATAGAAATTGTTGAAAATGTGACTACCTATTTGCAACCTTTTAAGCTCCTTCCTAATTCCTTCTGTAAAAGCAGACTCGTTGTCTTCCTGGACACGTGTGCATCATAAAGAGGGCAGCAGCAGCTAAAATGGCAGGCAAATCACTTTTCGAATGGTTTTGGAGCAGCTATCAGTGTCATCCCTGAAAGGCTGTCTTTATCAATGATACTGGCTGATATGGTGGGGGTGTGGAGGTTGGTGGAGGGCGTGGGGCGGGGGTTCTATCTGTCTTTGGAATCTTTCACAGTTTAGGGCCGAGAGCTGCTAAGAAACTGTCAAAGATTTGGACAGCTAAAATCCCCCGGTAGCAAACGCTGAGCTGTTCTCTATCTGTATTCCACTGTGGCAGCACGCGGGGTTGTAACACTACGCCACTGCTATTCCAGTGGGATAATGTCACTGAGGAAATAGTGCCAGAAAAACGTCTGCACAGTATTTTTGCTATAATACAGTATTCTTTTATTTTTTAATTTTATCGTGCAAACATTTATGAAAATGAACACATTTTGTGAATTTGTGTAACTTTTTCAAATTTATTTTTTTGTGTGTGAACATTGTACTGTTTCTGATTCAGTTACAGTATATAACTACTGTCTGCACCTAATTTAATCTCTATTCATGGATGTAATTTTAATAAATGATACAGTATATTATATGATTTTGTCAAACTCTTTGCAGCGTGACTTTTGTGGTGATTTAAATGAGTTTGGATTGAGTGATGCTGAACTTTTGCCGTCCATTTACCCATCAGCACGTGTGATATTTCATCCAAACCGTTATCGTCATAACACCTCGTATGTAATTTTGATGACGTTTGAGGTAGGTTTGCTTTCCTTCGACCACTTTACAAGTGTGAAATCCACAGTGTATCCAAAGTTATGCAATTGTGCTATGTCAGAGTGAAAAAATAAACACAACAAAAACTTTTGCACAAACATTAGTGCCCATGTGATGGAAGATTTTTTTAGTGGATTTACAGAATCCTGTTTTTCCACTTTGAGTAATGCTCATAGAGCATTTTACATGTTCATTTTTTTTGTAAATGTCTGGCTATTTTTCACTTCAGTGGATTTTTTTTCTCTGCTTCTAACCCTTCCTGTTTATCTATCCTGTTGTCACAGGCCATAAATCAAAAGCAATTGCTTCATATCTTCATTTTGGATCTTTGCAGTTTTATTGCCATAGCTTAATCCTTTGGCTGGTTGACAATGGAACATCATGATCAACACCATCATCACAACTTTACCAAGAAATTTATATTAACGCAATCTCTTCTCGATATTGAAATAAAGCACAATCTCATTTCTTATTCAAATGATAGCATTAGGCGTGTATGCATTTATCACCAGATACAGGAGTGAGGTTATAAACAATGCCATTCATTATCTGGCCCAGATGCAGCGATTGTTGATTAAAGGGCTTTGAATATAACACGCACACACTTGTTCACTTACACACTTAGGCACAGGCACACACACACACACAGATGGGTGGACATTAGGAAAAGAGAGAGGCCATCTGAATAGGCTGGAGGGACATTAACGGCAACAATGATTGATATTTGCCGCACAGGCTTTTTAATGGTATTGTTATTCCTCAGAGTTATACCCCGTCCTCCCCACGTCTCGTCTCGCAGATAAATGGAGGTGTAATAATGAATAGAAATTATCCTGATTATTTTGGTGGAGGTGGTTTGAGAGCAAGTGGGGTGGGGGTGTGTTGGGGGGTGAGTCATAATCTAACATGAAGCTTAAAGCTTAGTCAAGAGTGTCTAGTGGATTTCCTTTAATGTTTGCTGAGTTACTTGTAGAGGAAAACAAGGTGCTGTGTAAAAAAGCTAAAAAGCATGATATCTGTCATACTGAGATTGTGTAATTAAAGGTAAATAAAGACTGATAATACCCTAAAATAAAGAAATTATTAAGATGTGTGGTATAAACATTCATAATATAATTAATGAGAAAACTTCATGTACCCTCAACCTGGAACCTACTGTCTTTACAGACGTGTGGATATTAGTGGATACTTCCTAAAAATGTATAAACATACAATATATCCAGTATTTGTGTAATTTTCTTAAGTCTAAACAATATTGAATTACAGAATTGACACGTTAGTTAGCAGGCGCTTTACTTTCCAGAACCCCAGATTCATAAATGAGCCATAACTTAACCAATACTAGTCCTTTATGCTTGGGTGAAAAACTGTAATATTAATTACTTGTGTTGTCTTAAGAGCCTGCTGAGTGTTGATTGTGTGAACAGCTGAGGTGGACATCGCCAAAACACATTATTTGATGTGAGAGGCCAGCTTGTCCAAAGCAGTTGTGTTTATTACACACTCCTCTGGCACCTGCTGCATTGAGTCAGCCTGCCAGGACACACACACACACACACACACACAGTCTTCCAAAATCTCCTCTCCATTTAGCCTCTTTCCAACCAAATGACGGTCATTATCACTTTTCAATTACATTTGCAGGACTCAACTGC